TCTTCTTCCCAGAAGTCATCGTTTATAATTAGTTCTGGTGTTAGGCCTTCAATATCATGTAACTGCCACATGTCTATGCCTGTATTTTTAGCTTTATCAATTTCGACTACCATCTATTAGTATCCTGCAATAGAAGACAGGAAGTTCAGCACACTGAACCTACTTACCTTACCTGTATCTCACCTTGAAGTTCTAATTAGTTGCATTACCATTTTAAGGAGTTTAATACTCAAATATATAACTTTCAATAATATGCGTAAATTTCTGTTTCTTAACTCAGCCAGTTTTGAAACTGTTGACCTAGGAAAGAAATTCGCAGACAGAGCCCCACCTCCCTTTCCTCCCCTGTCCTGACCTCTGGATAATCAATATCCAGGCTTGTAGCATTTGCACTCTGACCTGCAATTTTAATTTCGTTTTCTGCATTTTATCTATAGCTTAACAATAAAATTGAAAACATTAAAATTAAGAAATTTTCATAGTATCACGATTAGATAAATATGAATCATTAAATCAAGTAAAGTGAGGCCAATAGGGTGGAAAAAGGATTCTATATGACTTGTAATGTCCATTCAAAAATAATAAAATTGATTTTTACTTACACTTCTTCTATTTTCCAAGTCATATCACATTTCAAGTTGCCTCACTGTAACTCCTCAAGTTTTGTTGTTTACTTTATTGTATTTGACAGAATAAACATTTAACTTGTAAGAGAAGGGAAAAGCTGTCTTCTGCCCTCTTATGCTACGTGACTAGCACTTGCAAATTAAACTGACAAAGGATAAATGGGAAGTAAGGCACACAAATTTTGTTTGATGTTGAAGTTTCAATTTCCATATGCTCAAAGCCCTTCCTAGCAAAGAAGGGAGGACCCAAATAAGCAGTTAAATCCATGGGCTCTATGTCATTTTTAAAAATGATGAGAAATAACAGAGCAAAGCAAAGGAAGTTAGAGCTTCAAGGAGCTGTAAACTGTGGGAAGATGAATACAGTTTAGGAGCGAAACTAATGGAAGATAAATATACGGGAGGCTGGAACTGATGGCAGACACACTTGTATTTAGTGAGTTTCTTTATGTGGATGCACCTCAGGACCCTCTCCCTTTCCCTCTCCTGTCTTCCTAACACAAAAGCCAAGACACTTTCTCAAAAGAAATTTATGCCCTAATTTTAGACAGCTGGGGCAAAGGCAGAGTGATTTTTCTTTTTTTAAAATTTTATTTATTTATTTGTGTGTGTGTGTGTGTGTGTGTGTGTGTGGGGCCAGCTCAGCCCACCAGGGGGCAGGGCTGGCTGGCATGTGGTGCTGGGGGATTGAACCGCGGTCCCTGTGATTTGCTAAGCTTCTCTTCTTCTAAGTAGGTGCTTTAGACCATTGAGCCATCTCACCAGCCCCCAGAGTGATTTTTCCTGGGTTCGATTTCTTAATTGTACTTGCTCAAGTGATTGCTGGGCCAAAGTACTATACTCTGGGGGTGTCATACTCTGATCCCTTGTTCACATATCTAAGATCTTCCAAATATTTCAATGTATTATATTAATCAATATTTCTCCTAAGGACATTTTTCTATCACCAGGCCTTATCCTCCCTGTCCTGATTTGGGCCAATTGCTTTCTAGACCTTTTTTAGATCTGACAGCTTGAAATTTTTTATTTCATGCCTCAGTCAATCCTTTATTTATTATATTTATGTCTCATAGAAGAAAGGATAAAAAGGAAGAGACATATTCCATTCATGAATAACAGTTTGGCTAGTTAGAACTCTAGGTTCAAAGCAACTTTCTCTGAGAAGTTTGAAGCCTTGTTCTTCTGTCTTCTGACATCAATATTATAAAAGAAAAAGAGTGATGACGATCTCACGCTTATTTTTTGTAGGTATCCTATTAATTCATTCTGCATATAGTATTGCAATATTTTTATTTGAATTGACTATTACTGGATCCTTTCCATAGAAAAGTTGGGTTTTGTTCAGTAAAATATCTTGTTCTTCTTTATTCTCCTCTTGTTTTTCTGCTTTCCTGTGTTTTATTATCTATTAGTAACTTTCTAGATCTATCTTCTACCTCAACACTGTAGATGCAGTTTCCTTTTATGTCACTACATTCCGACTGACTTCATCTTCCAGATCACTCATTTAGTTTCAGCCAGATGAATGTTTTGACTCTGTTCATTTTTAAAATTTAGTTGGGAGGGCCCCACAGATAACCCAGTGGTATAAGCCCCTGCCTAGAAAAGGACAAGGATCTGGGCTCGATCCTGGTACCACATGCCATACCAGGCCTCAGAGCCATGTTGGCCACCAAATCTGGGCATGGGGGCACATGCTTATAATCCCAGCACTGGGGAGGCTGATACAGGAGGATCACTACAAATCCAAGCTGCATAGGGAGACCCTGTACCAAATACATAAAGTTTTTAAAAAAATTCTTTGAGAAATCAATGTTCACTGCTTGCTCTATTTCCATAGGAGCCTATTCTTATTTATGAATACACTATTGTTTTAACTCTCTGAGATAATTCCATTTTAATTTCTCTCTGCCTCTGTCTGTCTGTCTGTCTCTTTCTCTGTGTCTCTGTTTCTTTCTCTCTCTGTCTCTCTCTGTCTCTCTGTCTCTGTCTCTCCCCCTCCCTCTCTCTCCCTCCTTCCTTCCCTCCCTCCCTATCACTCTCTCCCTTCAGTACCAAATACAGGGCTTTATCCATGTTAGGCAGCTGCTCTGTCACTGAACTATGTCCCCTAGCACTTTTTTATTTATTATTTTCAGACAGTCTGACTGTTACCCATTCTGTCCTCACACTTGCAATCCTCCTGCCTTAGCCTTCCAAGTAGCTGGGATTAAATCCCTTTCTTCTGCTGTTTTTTCAGTTGGTTATTCTTTCACACATCTTGGTATTTCTCTTTCACCCAGTATTTGATAGATCTTGGGTTTACCAATAATCACTCTTAGAAAAAAGCACACGAGTTCATTAGCATAGGTAGTTGGCAAAGTGACTTTCTGCAGCCTGCAAGAGCAGTGTACCCACAAGCCATCACGGTACGGGAAATAACTCCACAGCTTGAGTGAGTCAGTGGCCAGCTTCTCCTTAGGCTGCATGGATGGTTTAGCTTATATCCCCATTAACTACAAAAGTGAGGAAAACTCCATGACACAGGATGAGACTGAGTGCACACCCACCCCTCTGTTTCCATGGTTTCTACCACCCTGAATTCAACCAACTCCAGATGGAAAATAGTTCTGAACATGGACCTGAATAATATAGTACAACAACTACTTACAGAGCATATACAAAGTGGTAGGTATTAAAAGTAATCTAAAGATGATTAAAATCTATTGGAGATGTGCATGTTTGTGCAAATGCTATATCATTTCATATAAGAGACTTGAGCATCCTTGGACTCTGGGATCTGCACGTGGGAGAGTGACAGGTACCCTGGAATCAATCTCCATGGAAACAGAGGGATCACTATACTGTACTCCTCAGAGGAGCAGCCTTTCTTCTCCCCTGAGTGTACGGAAGCTCCAGAGCTACCTCAGGCTCTGTTTGTACCAACCACCACATTATTCTTGTCCAGGAAGATGTCCTAGTCGAGTCCTTCCTTTGTCACTAGCAGGGAACAAATGTTTCTGTCAGCTTCTCCTGAGACCTGAGAGGTGAGGAAAAGGTGACTGAGCCAGAAATTTGTGTCTTCTGATTCCTCAACACTCCAAATGTAAGGTCAGACCCAACCTCAAGCCTACTGAAGTGGAATCTACATTATAACAATGTATCTGGTGACCCACAACACCAAATCTAAGAAGCATAGCTTGTCAACAATTTTCATCCATTTGCCAGAAATGCCTGCTCTTCATCACTGAGACCTCTAAGATTGGGACTTCCATGGCACAGCCAGGAAGAGATGCCCCCTCCCCTCAGATTCTGCGCCAGGTACTTCTCAGTGTCCATCATAATTATCTACTTGTCTTCCTTGGCATGTAAATATCTCTGACATGTGACATGATACATAGCTATCTTAGAAATAAAAATGTACAAATATAATCATTTAGAAACACTCCCTCCAATTGTCTTATCATTCATGCAGCATGGCAACCCCATAACCACAGATGTGCCGTCCCAGTAGAATTCCATCACATTTAAGTGCAGACCAGAAGGACGCCCCTTCAACCACTCCTGTGAGGACCTAAGGAAGTAAGAGGTGGCCTTGGATGGGTAAAGTCTGGAGTCTGAACTCACCCACTGTGGTGGACTGGAACCAATTAAGAAAGACTGGAGTAGAAGGCTGTGACATAACAAGCCAGGGTGACAATGACTGGCTGCTGGGGTGGATTAGAGCGGAGGAATGGCAAAGGAGGCAGAGGAAAGCTGAAAGCTAGGAGCCTGTATAATCTAATTAATGCCATCAACTGATGTTAAAGAGGCAAGCCAGTAATTCTCAACATTTGTGAACAAGCCAACGTCTGAAATCCTAAGCAAAATTGTAACATTTACTCTTTCCACTACCATACATTCAGAGCTCTGGGGAGACTTCATTCTGTTCTTTCGTGTGCCAGACACTGCACTAGGAGTTAAGATTTTCAGAGAGGAATAATAACATGGGGAGAGGAAAAGTAGAAGACTTGTGTGCCCTAAATCACAAGTGCCTTGGTACTTCTATAGCACAACCCAAGACAGGTGTGAAGTTGGCAGAGCTTTAGGGTCTGATGCTCAAAGCCAATCTTTTTTTCCATAGCATTTGTATGCCTTTGAATATTGTATTCCACCTTCATAAACCTCAGATCATTTGACAAACCAGAAAAAAGCACTAGTTATACTTTTACTGGTAACATATTCACACTTATAAGAGTACAAGGATAAGGAATAATAGACAAATGAAGAACATAGATGCCATATTTGTTCTTAAAATTACTTAACATCTGTTATTGCTTTCAGGACTAGCAAATTATAAGCTTATTAGATACTTACACTAAGAGTTAGAATTGATTAAAATTAACAGTGGAAATGAACCAAACTATTTTCTCTTTGTGTTTCAAATTTCCTCCATTTGAAAGTAGAGTAGTTGCTTTATTCTTTATATATTTAGCATGATCAATAATTCAAGCATCCTTTAACAAATTCCATAGAATTCACTGCCGCCTACCTAATGAGGCACAACTAATTATCTATTAACCACATTAGCAGCTAATGCAGCAGGAGACCCTGTCCACACCCTCCTCTAAGGTAGAAACTAAATGGTAAATTGCTTCTCCTCAGTTCTGTAGGTTTTTAATCCCATATTTTCAGATGACTATATCTGGTTATTAGCAATTCCCAATAGCGAAAGTACCCTGAAGATATAAAATGAGGGGAGACTGACAGTGGATGGCTTGACTTTCTTGCTGTGCCGTCCTCCCTGGAAGTCTTTTCTGCTCTGAGTCCACACAGAAAACAGACAACATCCCTTCACCAGCTGATGAAAAACGCTACCTACTGAGGTTAAACTAGAGAGAACATCCTGCAGGGTCGAGACAGGGCCGGCGTGCGCAGGGGCATCTCCGTTTACCACGCTGTGCCTGGCCTTGGCTGGAGCAACGATTAGTGTTTGACAGTGATGGTCTTGATTTCTGTGAAAAAGTCATGAGAGTCCTTGGCGCCCTCTCTTCCTATCCCCGAGCTCTTCATGCCCCCAAAAGGCAGGTTCAGCTCTCTGATGAGCCAGCAGTTGGTCCAGACCAAACCTGACTGCAGCTTCTTGGCCACACGGTGGACGCGGCCCACATCTCTCGACCACACCGTAGCGGCCAGCCCGTACTTCACGCTGTTGGCCCGTCTAATCACTTCCTCTTCATTCTCGAAGGAGACCACGCATGTCACGGGGCCAAAGATCTCTTCCTTCATGCAGCAGGACTCATCCTTAATGTCTGTTATCACTGTAGGAGGCATGAAGTAGCCTTCCTGATTCCTGGGGGGCAGCGTCAATTTATCTACTCCCTCTCCACACAGAATACGGGCCCCTTCAGCATGAGCTCTTTTGATGTAACTTCTGACCTGGGCAGGAAAATACATAATTGGTGACCTTTTATCATTTGGCTTCATAAAAATCAGATTAAAAATAAATGTCAATACTCTCTAATCAGCCAAAGCAACATAAGGTCATTGCTAAAAATCTAAAGTTATCTTTTTTTTTTTTTTTTCTTTGTTGGCAGTCCTGGGGGTTGAACCCAGAGCCCTCATTTGAGCTAAATCCCCAGCTCTTTTTCTTATTTTATTTTATTTTATTTTATTATTTCACAGAGTCTCACAAGGTTGCTAAATTGTCCAGGCTGGGACTGAGTATATAATCCTCTTACCTCAGCTTCCTAGAAATCTATGGTTATCTTATGACTACAGAGATGTTCCAATCCTGTGAGCATTCAGGCCTGCTGCATAGTGGAGGGAAGTGATTTATACAATGTCTAAGTTCCAGGCATCCAGATGTTTTTAATATATTCTCAATTCCCCCAATACTCTTATCAGCTATTTTTATCTCTTGCTATCCCCTATTTGCTGAGAAAATAATGGAGAAACAAGAAGTATTCAGAGTTTGTATAGTTAATGAACAGTAAAGTTAAATTCATTCTCATGTATATTTATATTATCAGGTAATACAAATACACAAAAAAAGATATTTTCTTGAAGAACTTTTTCCATTGCAAAAGAGTGGTTGGTGAATGATGTATAAGATTTAACTAAAACAGCCTCTATAACATAAAACTTCTAATTTCTAGTGTTACTACTGATTATACTCTGAAAATATGAGATAATATTATATTACATTTATTGTAATATATATGTATCATATATATGGAGAGAGAGTGCTAATTGTAACTACAACTCACTGTAACTAGTGACTCAAAGATAACATTGGTAGATTTTTTTTGAAGAGACCAAATGCTGTTTTTGTGTTTGTTTTTCCTCGGCTTAATGCTGAGTCATGCTAGCAGGAGACATGGCCAGGACCTACCTATGCAGTTTAGACCCAGTTCCAGGCAATTTAAGCCCAGGATCAAAAGGAATTCAAGGCAAATGGGCCGGGTAAGGGTGGAACCCATAGCGTAACTGGGTGACACAGCAGAGTGTTGGCTCAGCCACTCTCTAGGCCATTAATCTCCACCTGCCATGTTCCAGATCCTTTTCCAGGGTCTGAGGACACAACAAAAAGTGAACCTGATGTGGAGTTTACATTCTAGTCAAGGGAAGCTGCTGGTAGGGGTTACAGTAGTGATACTGTTTTGAATTTTAATTTTTTTTAATCTTTTATTTATTTATTCGGTACAGTGTCTTGCTACAGAGCTCAGATTGGTAGTGCTTTTTTCGTTTCAGCCTCCCCCAGCCCTGGGATTATAGGTATGTGCCACCATGCCTGGTTTCTGTGGCTGGCACCACAGGGATCAGCACAGCATGTGGTACCGGGGATCAATCTGGGTCCTTGCATTTGCCAGGCAGGGCTTAGACCATGAAGCTATCGCCCCAGCCCCAGCAATACTGTTTGTATGTCAGACTGTAGAAGACAATGGAGAAAAAGCACTAAAGAGGGAAGGAAGGCCTAGAGTATGCGATTTTCTCTAGAAAGGGCAAGAGAGTCCTCAGTTTACTTGGTGTTCAAGAAGAGGAGAAACCCAAGCAGATGGCTGAAGGAATTCTCTCTACTGCTCTTGGTCTACCTGATCTTGACTACTTGGTCCTACCTTGATCTTAAACTATGAACATCGTATTTTCAAATTTCCCTACTCTACAGGCGATATTCCAAGCTGACTTTATTCCACATTATTCACTGGGGATGGATGCTGCTTTAAGCAGAGCCCCATGTGCATAGTCCTAACTAAAATGTTCAGACCCCACCCAGAAACCATTCCCCACAGTTCATAACTTTCAAAAGCAATTACAGCATGTCAAAGCCTGATATGGGCTCTGCTTGCGCCGAGCTTCTCCCCAAACAAAAACTCTGTGTACCTCTCCCAGAAGAGGCTCACTTACTTTCTCCAAGTGGGCCTTACTGATCAGGGCACCCATGCAGGCTGATGGGTCAGAAGGAACGCCAACTTTCCACTTTCTGGTAGCTTCCACAAATCTTTTTAAAAATTCACTGTAGATGCTCTTCTGCACAAAGATCCTGCTGGTGCAGAGGCAGATTTCACCCTGTGAAGAATGAGGACAATGACAAGACTGCAGGACCATGTCCTTCATAGACAGATTAAGCTCTTTCAGGCACCACACCATGCAGTGGTCAGGCACTGGTCTAGAATAGGAACCTGTAATAAAGGAGACAAAGTCCCCATCTCGTGGCACATGCAGTCTTGGAGGAAGACTGAAAATGCATAAGTAAACTTGGAAATGTAGCTTCAGGTAATAAAGAAATAAAAGAAATCAGGTTAAATAAATAAAACAAATTTGGAGGCTAAGGACAGTTATTTTACTAAAGAGAGACATGGAAGACACTTGCAAATGGGGACCTTTCAATGAACTCTTGAGAATAGCTGGGTAGGCAAAAGTCTGGAAGAGGAAATTCTCAGCAGTGAGCATGGAGACTGCTTCAGGAAGGAGCCTGGGGTGTGAGACCAGGTGAGTAGGGCTAAGGACAGGAGCAGAGCAGGGACAGGATGTATGCAGTAGGCCATGGGGTCGGGGGCCAATGTGGCAACATTGCATAGTCCAGCAGACTCATAGGAGCTTGCGATTTATCCTCAGCATCATGGAGAGGTAATGGAAAGTTTTAGACAACAGTGAGATCACCAGATTTACATTTTCAGGTGACCGCTGCAGCAGCTGTGTGCAAAATACAATGGGAAGAGTTGGAACAGATGCAGCACTGAGAGGATATTCCAAAAGTGCAGAGAAGAGGCAGTAGTTTGGGGCAGGGAGGCCCCAGTGGAGATGGAGAGAAGTGATGGGGATCCACTGAGATCCAGACACTCACAGGGGATGGGACATTGGCATGGATGTACCAGAAAAGCTTTCAGCATCAATCTTACCTAGAGACTCTGCTGATGCATTTGAGGAAAAGAGAAGTCAAGATGCAGGAAGAGTCCGCAGTTCAGGGCCCGCACTACAGCACTAGTGGCAATGAGGCACAAAAGAGATTCAGATTGCAGGGAGGAAATACAGAGGGAAACCAGGGGTCCTGCTGGGGATGTGTCAAGTACAGATCCCAATAAACACCCAAATAGAGAAGCTGAATGTTCAGCAGTGAGGTCCTGCATAATTCTGAGTGAGCAACAGTCCTAAATACTCTTTCAGGATAGCACGTAATGGTTTGAAAGCCACATCCCAGACATTTCAAGGCATAATGTATGTACGACAAGTGCATAAATGCATAAATAACTGCTTTCATCACCTTTATATTTGGTCTTCACAACAGACCAAGGAAACAGAATGCTGCTAATTATCTTGGTATTTGCACAAAGGTTCATTGTTCAAATTGAACAGTTAATGTTCTGAGATAATTAATGCTTTCTGCCACCAGGATTACTGTCAGAACCATCTGTATATCTGGCATGGAAAACAGCCAAGCACCTGACAGGTTCGTTGGCACACATGCCTCGTACTCTATGGAAAAAAGGGGGGGGTGATAAAGAGACCTGCAGCCTTTACCAAGAAGTTTCTCATTACTCAGTGCCAGGAAAGCACAGGTGACAGTGAACCCCTGCACTGTGACTCTGGAGGAGGAGAAAAGACAGTGTTAGTCTCTGAGTCCCTGTTGTGTCACCTGCACTGTGAAGGCGGCTTTCTCACTGTACCTCTGCGGTGTACTATGTTCTCAGTCTACAGTTGGGCAATGATGTTTGGGGATAACACATGCCCCCCGGCAAGCAGGAGTGCTTTGCAAAGTCAATCTCATTCAGCTAAGAGGGAAGTGTGAAGTGTGCCTTCCATGGAACTTGTCACTCAGCTAAGCAAAGCAGTCAAGCTGTTCTATTTGCTTACCTAAAATCCACTTCTTGTTGGGTCGCCATGTCCCTTTTTCCACTGAGTTTGAGTTTGCCCAAATGTTCCTTGAATAAATGCCCATGTCTGCCCCATTCTGCTAGAACAGCCTATGAGGCTCAGCATTCAGTTACTGTGCCACAGAGCCCCTGCCACTTCCCCTCAGCCCAGCCCTCAGTCCTCGTCTTGTCTGGAAGCTGTTGACACAATTGCTTCAGTCATTCACTGCATATTTGCTTATTTCAGTAATCAAACCAGGTGTATTATGAAATGGCATTTTCTCTTGATCCAAAAACTCCTATTTCTAGCCAACTTTTCTAGAAATTACAGTAAGAAGAATCACTATTAACAATCATGAAATTAAAATCACCATAATAATTATAAAAAATCTGAAAGTAGCATTTCTCAAAAATCCTCCTGGGAAAGGTTATGATTGATCAAATGTGTGAAAGCCTTCTCATGACACAAGTGGAGAAACACAGGTGCAGACAGTCACATACTATCCAATGTAACCTGAGCTGGGAAAGCACAGAGTCTCTGTATTTACCTCATTCTGCTCTTCCTTTCTCCTAGAAAAATTCTACCTCTTTAGTATAAGCCTTTGTTCTCTACTAAAAAAAAATATATTCTTTGGAGCAAACCCTTGGTCTATATGCACTCCTGCTAGACCCTAGCAGTATTCTAGGCCTTGACGTTAAAATTACTGCACGAAGGTAGGTCCTGCTCCCCCTCCAGGAAGCTGCTGTATAGCTGAACAGGTCTGGTATTATTCACCCTTTGGTATGCCATGACCTTGAAGAATCTGACAAAACTTACCAAGCCCACAGGACTCCTATGGTAGGGGTAGGTAACTCAGTGGGTGAACGTGTTTGGGATGGTTTTGGAGGGAGAATAGGTCTACCAGAAATGTAACATTTGGGCAGCAATAGGAGACAGGAACACTGTGAATCAAGAAATGCAAGCCAGTTGTGCATACCTGAAATCCCAGCACTCAGGGGACTGAGGCAGGAAAAGTACCATGAGATTAAGGCCAGGCTAAACTATATAACAGGACCCTGTCCCAAAAGAAATAAATAAATAAAAAGAGAAATGGAGAAACAGTGTAGAAAAATCAATCATTTTGCCCATGGCAGGTACCTAATAAAAGGTACGTGACTTAAGAAAAGGAGATTCACAAACAGAAATCATGGCTCCACAGGCCACTGACTGATGTCAGAACATACAATCTATTGATCCTTTTGACAAAAGTATCTGGGTTGACCTGTTCACCATTGTGCTCTACACTTTGATAAAAGAGAGGTGGGTTGGCAGGCCCAAAGAAGGGGAGCACACGGAGATGTACCTGGTTGGCAAAGCTGGACCTGACGGTGGTTGGAATGCACTCCTCCAGGTTGGCATCCTCAAAGATGATGGCTGGGTTCTTGCCCCCCAGCTCAAGGGAGAGTTTCTTGCAGTGGGGTGCACTCAGCTGGGTGATCCGCTCAGCAGTGGGCTGGCTCCCCGTGAAGGAGATCAGGGGCACCTCTGGGTGGGACACCAAGGCTTCTCCTGCCCTGGGCCCTGTTCCAAACACAATATTGATGACACCCGGTGGAACACCTGGATGGTAAGCAGTATATTGCAGTCATGTGAAGACTTTGCAAGACCATTAGCTCACACAGAAAGAACACTTGGTTTTTTAAACAACAGGAGCTTTCACAGAGACCTCCAATTTAATAGAAAAGCAAGGATGGGACAGTCACCTCTGCCTATTGAACCCACTAGGTGGGCCTTCTTAGGTGCTGTACCCTGAAAGAGTCAGGGTAGGGAATGTTGTGCATAATTAACTTGACCCAACTGACTAAGCCTCAGGGACTGAGCAGAGAGATCCCAAGCAGTCCAATCCTAGTGGAAAGTCCTCCTCCAACTTGTATCTAGTGTTGGACCCTGTTAAATTTACTCCATTTTGTTGCCTTTCTAACTTTGCCGAGTTCCTGTTCTGTATGCACTGACCTCTCCCAATTCCTCCAATTTCCCAATTCCTCCAATTCCATGATTTCAACACCCCTGCCCAATGCGCCCACTCGATGTACTCATGACTGCCAATTCAGCACCCCACCTTGCCAATTCAGCACCCCACCCAATAAGGACCACCTAATAAACTAATGACCCTGCCACTTCTTCCTCTCCACCCCTTCCCTCTTTTTGTGGTTTTCAAGCTTAAATACTGACCCCTTGTCAATGCCCAACGCGCCTCTTTGCACCTTGCATAGAGACCGCCGCTGGGTACCAGCTAAAATAAAGCGCTTCTTTTAACTTTTGGACTTGCCTTGTTGTCATCTGATTTTTGAGTTACAACATCTAGGAGCTGCACTGCAGGATGAAATGTTAAGTGTGGGTGTGTGTGCATGTGTATGTGTGTTTGTGTGTGTGTGCATGTGTGTGTATCTGCAGGGATGCAGGGACTGGCCCTTTGACCCGGGGAGCAAGGGAAGGCTCCCCAGAAAGGTGAGTTGCGAGTTGGAGGTTCTGCATCTCATAATTACAGACAGCAGCACTGCATTCTAAAACCAACTTATAAGTACCAAAAACACCCCAAAGTAGGTGTCCCAGTCTTTTCTATCACCAAACCCTACTGACCTAAATCTATGTGCATGTGTTGCCACGCTTTCTGGATTAACTTATTCATGGCTGTTCACCACTAGAAATTCTACTATCTAAGGACATAACTAGAATCGTTTTCTGCCCCAGTTTGTCACAAAAGAACTAACCAGTAAATGTGTACATTAACTGGGTACTTAGTAAAACTGCTATCATGGTAACAGATTAACCGTCCTCCACCTTACCCACAGTCACTGACTTGAGGTGAATGAGATTCTATTTCACTTCCCTGAAGTCATTCATAGGCTGAAAATATTAATACTTACATTGACTATTTTAGGAGAGGAAAAACCAGTGCATAACTTTTATCATAGTATATTGTTCTAATTATTCAGTAGTATTAGAAATTATTGTTGTTAATCTCACACTGTACTTCATAAATTAAACTTTTTATGGATATACATGCATAGGGGAAGATATAGTACACAGAAGGTCCAATACTGTCTACACTTTGGACTACCCGCAAAGTCTTGGAGTACTTCCCCCACTGACAAGCATGACTTCCATTTTTAGGCCACCCAACAATTCCATAAGGTGCGTGGTGGCATCCTCACTTTACTAGTGAGAAACTTGAGGTAAAGTAAGGTGGAATTACAACCAGGAAGCAGAACAGCTGGTCGGAGCAGGATAATAAGTAATTGTTAAGTGAATGAAGGAGCAAATAGATGTCTAGTTCCAGTATCCAAATTAGAAAGTGTATGTGAATTTCAGAAGCTTTGTGTGATCAAAAAACATTCACTCATGCAATCAAGTTGCACCTAGGAAGCTCTTAGGAAGCTCATCTGGAGGCAGCTGGGTCTCTGCCATTTGTGTAGCTTTCTAAAATCTTTCAGTATAGAAGAAGACTTATGTACCCCACGACTGTACACTTGGACTGAAACAGGACCTATCTGTCCCCCATCAGGCTTACATGGACAGATATTTTTACTGCTGTGGTCAAGTAACCAAGGTGCATGCCAGCTGCCTCTGTGTATGGATGAGTCAGCATCCCCAGAAGCCACTGATGTCTGTAAGATACAGACTTACTTTTTCATGACTGTGGAAGATAAAAGAAGAAAGAGAGAAAGGGCAGGGAGGGAAGGAAGCTTAGGAAAGACTCCTGATCTTCTTCTCTTGCTCTATGTTAGACATTCTTCCCTCATTAGAAATGCTGTCTTGGTCCCAAAGCATGGCAAGGATCTTAGCACCGTAAACCATAAGTGAGGATTTCACACCAGTGAGCCACCATCACCCACGATGCCCGCCCCGAGCCATGGCCTAAGCCCTATCAGCCCGAGGGCTCAGTGGAGGCCCCATCCCTAAGGAGACAGGTGGATAAGATGCGCTTCTGACAGTCCCAGCTCCTGACTCAGCGTGAGCATGTACTCAACCTAGATTAGGTCAGTCCCGGATCTCAGTGACCAGAGAGCACCTGCCCCCTCTGTGGGCAGGAAAGCATCTAGAAGGAGAGCTTCTGTAAGAAGAAAACAAAGTGTGCCTCCAATTCTTGGATGGGAGTGGCCCCTCCACCAAATATTGGACAAGTGTGGGCAAGGATGGGGGTTTGGGGGTAGGAAGCTATTTACAAATTTTGAAGGCAAAAAAGGGTCATGTCACTTCTAATGCTTACAGTAGAAGTTTAACAGCAGACAGGGAAAAAATACAGAAGCACCACAGGAAATCAAGCTCATTCCAGCAGGCTGCTTGCTCCTACAGTCAGCATTAACATTCGGGTTACATTTCCTTGGGGTCTGACGTTAATATGCTCCACGCTGTATGCTGCCTGTGGATTTCCCAGTAACTGTCCTGCCATTTGATCTGCACATTAATGAAAGTCTTGTGCAGCTGTCTTTCCTGTAAAAAATTCTGGTTGTATGAGAAGGGAAGCAGTTTAACTGGCAAACAGAAATACAGCCCAATTTCAGGTGACTAACAGACACAGTAGGAACGCAGGTACAAAAGCTAACAAAGACCCTCAAATGCTAGAGCTGCTCCCAGGAAAGCAGAGGGAAGGATTTCAAAATTAAATGGAGCAGTAAAATAAAATAATGGAAAAGGGCCAAAAGGCCACTGCCAACAGACTCCTTAAGAGTGATGGCAAATATTTTGTATACCCAAGAAGAAAAAAAACTATCCTAGGGCTCCCAAAGAGATATTCTCTGGGTACTTCTTACACGATTATACTTCAGAGATCATTGACCAGAATATGTGCACTTCAGAATGAGAGAACATGGCTTTTTAAGCATGCAGAATATGCTAGAAGTTTATTTTCAGTTTTTTCTCCTTATCCTCTTGAAAGTTCCTATTGCCCTGTTGCAAAGTAGGACTGACCCCTCAGTCCTAGTGGAGAAGCCCATGGGAACATGAGAGGGTTCAGTTTGAGCAGAACTGTTTTCATATTGCTTTTCAAGAGAGGAAAGTTTGGTTTCAAAGCCAGTGCAGACAGGAAAGAGGAGAAGGCTGCCTTGGTACCAGGGCCTATGAGCTCATAGGAAATAAGGTCAGTGCTATGCAAATAGAAGGACATGGAAAATTCTCACACAGACCAGGTTCTGGGTTGGGGAGTAAGAAATAAAAGTCATCGCAGAGGAAAGCATGGCTCCACATCCACCTCCAAGTGCCCCTCGCCCTACATGGGATCAAGGTAGAGAGAGAGCCCTTGCTACAGTTCGGGTCTGGAACAAGCAGCTTCTTCCACCCGTTCTCCTGCATCCCACGCTGCCTCGCCACAGGGCCAGGAGCAATGCAGCCAGCGAAGCAAAGCTGTGCAGTAATAAGGCTTTCCTCCATTTAGGTTGGTTCATCGGAGGTATTTGTCACCTGACTAATATCAAGCTAACACAGCTCCAATCCTGTCTGACCCTGGAAACCTGTAGTCCCCAAGCCAAGCAGAAATGACTTGCGTATGCGCACACCACTCAGTTCTGCAAAGAATGGGATTAGAACATGGTATTTCTGACAAGAGGGGCTGACACATTCTGGACATGGCATATTTGGTCATAGACTCCCCAGAGGCCTAAGGCATCAGGGACATCATCCTGAAGACCTGAGCCAGGAGGCCTCATTTCTCAGTGGGTCACGAGGCCAATGCCTTTTCCTAACCAGGCTCAATTTTAACCTGTCCCCTAAATCCTAAAGAACTGGCTAAACTTCACTGAACTTAGTGTGTGTGGTTTTACTTTGATAACAATGATATCCAGAACATAAGTAGAGATGGGCTCTTTCCTGCCCACTGCCCACTGAGTGGCTATCGGAGACAGCAGAAGAACCTTCTCTGGGTGCTGAAAGGCAGTAAGATCAGCAAAAGTTGGCCCATCCAGAAGGATGGTAAGACTGTCCCCACCTCCCTCATCATCCCTACCCCAGAATTTGGGGGGAGATGGGCTGAGGGGCCAGTGGCACAGATCCTTATCCCAGGCTTCCTGCTGCTACCTCCACGTGCTGGAGCAGTCTCAGGCCGTGCCTGGATGAGTGAGTTACACCCTAAACAAAACCCTAATTATTATTAGCCTTGAATTAGTAAACTATTAGTAGAAAGAGGACAAGGAGCAAATGCGATGTGCTGGTGAGAAGCCAGACCACATCTGTTTCTGAGGACAATCTCCTGTGCAGAGGACCAAGATATGCACACTCAAACCCCTTAAAAATGGCTGTCTGCCAAAGATTGGGTAGCTCTATAAGCCACAGGAGAACCTAGCTGTTGTCTTGCTCTCATCATGATTAGCTGTGGCTCTAATCTAAGATTTAAATTAACCATAGAACATACTTCCTGGAGTGAGTTGGTCCCTTTTTGTTGTTTGGATCTAAGACATGATCCAAATGGCCATGAGTTCAAGGCCTGGTCCCCAGCCTGCAGCACCCATGGGAGGTGATAGAACCTTAGAGAGATGGGGTATAAAGGCAGGAAGTTAGGTCACCAAAGGCATGCCAGTGCAGGGCATCATGGGATGCTGGTGTCTTCTCTCTTTTCTTCCTAGTTAGGGTGATACGCACAAGGCTCCTCCTCCATGCACTCCCACCATGATATACTCGGCCCCCATAGGCCCAAAGCAATAGGAACAAATTGCTATGGGTTGGGTCCTCTGAATCTGTCAGCCAAAACATGTCAGTCAGTTTTCCAAATGCTGGGACAAATACCAGATATCCTCAACTTAAGGGAGGAGAGGTTTAGTCCATGATCAGCTGGCTCTAAGGAGAGATAGAATGGCAGAAGAGTTCAGGGGATCCATGACATCCAGACAGCGCACTGCCATGGGAAAGTGCCAGGAAGGGAGGGACAGCTTGCACGGACAGCCCCCAGTGATGCACCTTGGACTGGACCCTACCCCTACAGCCCTGCCTGGGCCCTCATCTACCTGTGAACAGCAGTGGATTGACCCATCCATGGAGGGACAGTAGCCCCCGCTCACTGTGATCCGGTCATTTCTCCAGTAGCCTTTTGATCCAGTCAAATTAAGATTAACTCACAAGCAAACCTTTCCTCACAATACCTTCGGGGTCCAAGGTATTTGTTACAGTAGTGGAAACCTGGCTTATACAAGCCTGCAGTATTGTGTACCATGCACTATCAGCTGCTCCACGGCAGTTCCATTCTGGTTTGAATAGAAAGAGCAGCATGAGAGAATCCCGCATGAAGGTGAAGGGGAGTTTTCAGGGAAGCTCAAGGAGAGAAGCCCCAAGGATGTCACTGGAATTGATTTTGCTGCTAAGAGGCAGATCTCCATATAGCTTTGCTCCAGCTCTGCACCTCCTCCACCCCAGCACCTCGCTACCTGCTTTATCCAGGAGTTTGCACAGCATCCACGCCGTCACGGACGTCAGCTCGCTGGGCTTGGCGATCACAGTATTCCCGGCAGCGATGGCGGGGGCGATCTTCCAGGTCAGCAAGTAGAGGGGCAGGTTCCAAGGGCTGATGAGCCCCGCTGCAGGAGCAGAGCAGAGGCACCGCCATGGAGCCGCGCTGCTCGGAGGCTGCAGGGGTCCTGAAGCAGGACTCCGGCCAGAAATCTAATTCCCCTCAAAACCCCAAACTTGGCTCAGTTGCAGCTGACCTCAGGGAAATCTTTCTAAAATATGTGACAGTACTTTCTAAAACAGTAAAATCAAATACTTTTTTATTCTTTTAAAGAGAAGAAAGTTAAAAGTAAAACAGTTGCATTGCTACTGTTGTCTTAATAGTAGTCATTCAGAGTACAAGACATCGGCCTGGTACCTTGTCCAAACAAGGTTGGCACAAACCTCTCTCTCTCGCTCTCTCGCTCTCTCGCTCTCTCGCTCTCTCACTCTCTCACTCTCTCTCTCTTATTTGTATCTTTAGGGAAGTGTCTACAGGGTGTTTAGGGTCTCACTACTTAATCGAACTCTAGTGATCCGCCTGTTTACAGCCTCCCAAGTGCTGGGATTACAGGCACGCACCACCATGCCCAGTCTCAATTGCCATCTCAGCGGCCCCTGGGGGTGGGGCCAGCACAGCAGGCCCTGGACTCAAACCCCCAGCCCCTGTGCCTGCTTGCAGATGCTTTAATCTGCTATTTGCCCAGCTCTTAAACCTTTCTTTTCAATGAACTAGAAGAAACCAGCTGTATCACTAATCTGTCTTGTGCATAAATATTTTTTTTTCTTTTTCCCTCTCTTGCTTTCCCCTTTGCCAACCAAGCATCAGACCACTAGGCCAACAAGCTGCTTTCCCCCTTTCCCCATCACAGTTCATCTTTTCTTTTGAACAGTTTCTTCCCAATTCACAATGCCTCATATACACGTTGGCTCTTGTTCACTCATTCAATTTCTCATACTAGCGAGGTAACACGGTGTTTACACATGTGGGTCTGATGTACTTATTTCACTTGTGAGTATGGTCTTGAGTTGTATCCATTTGCTTATAAAAGTTCCAAGTTTAAACTTCTCTATTACTTAGTAGTATTCATACATAGACCTTTCTCAGTTAATGGGCTTTTCGGATGTTTTCAAGATTTATGACAAATGGTGCTGCTATATGAATACACATATATCACTATGGTATGTTTTTAATTCCTCTGGGAAAATACCCAGGAAAGGAATAGCTGGGTCAAATGGGGCCTTTAATCTTAGGTTTTTAAGGAATCTCCATGCTGATTTTCTCAGTGGTTGCACCAGTCTACACTCCCACCAACCTCGGAGAAGGGTTTCTCTTCCCACACAGCCCTGCCAGCATTTGTGGTCAGTTGACTTCCTGATGATAGCTGGTCCGTCTGTGTGAGATGGAATCTCAGTGTTGTTTTAATTTGCTTCTCTCAACTGACTGAGGATGCTGCACATTTTCTTATGTACTTCTTTGCTATTTGTATCTCTTCATCTGAGAAGTACATACTCATTTCAGATGCCCATTTTTTAATTGGGTCATTGAATTTGGGGGACCTGATTCTTTCAATGCTTTACATGTTCTATGTAGAAGTCCTCTGTCTGAGAAACAACTGGTTATAATTTTTCCCACTCTATGTGTTGATTTTTCACTCTGTTGATGATTTCTTTTGCCATGCAAAAGCTTTTTAATAAGGTGAAATCCCATTTCTTGATTCTTTGTAACATTTCTCTTGCAATCTGGGTTTTGTTCATGAAGTCTCTAACTATACCCAGGTCTTCTAGATTTCTACCTATTTTCTCTTCCAGTAAATTTAGGTTTCCTATTTTAATATTTAGGTCTTAGATCAATACAGTTTGCTGTTTCTCGATGGTTCATGATTATAATTGTGAACAACAGCAATATAAGTTCCAAGACAGAAAGGCGGCCACCCCCAATCCCTAATAGTTTCATTGTAAGATATATAAATTGACATTTTTTAAATATTCTTTCCTCATTACTAGGCTATGTGGGCACTCTTTCTTCTTACAAGTTTCTCCACCTCCACTTCTCACTTGTTGTGGATTAAGACACAAAATCTCAAGTTTTATAGAATTACTTGTGAAGCTGGAGCAAAGCCATTCTTCTAGGTCCTGGTGAGAGCCCTAGTATCAGCAAAGTCACTGAACTTTAATGCGTAGAGCATGAGTACAATTTTGCTAAGCAGAAGATTTTTTTGGTCTGTTCTTGGGTTTTTGTTTTGGTTTGGTTTGGTTTTTTGGTATGTATTTAGGACAGGGTCTACAGGGTCTCACTACGCAGATTGGACTCCTAGTGATCCTTCTGTTTTCAGCCTCCCAAGCACTGAGATTACAGGTGCGCCGCCACCACGTCCAGTCTCAATCCCAGTCTCAGCGTGACCCGGGGCGGGGCCGGCACAACAGCCTGGGGATCCGACCCTGGCCCCTGCGCTCTGCCTATGCAGGCGCTTTAGTCCGCTAAGGTATCCGGCCGGCCCTAAAACAGAAGACTTTTAAATAAAAATCTCTGTGGGTTGTCACCTGCATCCTCAACAGACGGGCCTGTTAGATAAGTAATACACCTAACATCTAGAGTGCGTCTCCATACAACTCTGAAACTGTGGTTTTCCAACCACAGCACGCACAAATATGAAAGCTACATTACCAATAGGGAAATAGATCCGCCTTATTTTACTCTCTGCCCTCAAGCCTGCGCTAACAAGGTAGCTGTGTGTTTTATATTATTGAATTTCCCACCCGGTAAGAATATTTTTGCAGCAAAGTACGTTCACATACTTCTTAGGAGGAGGCTAACGGTTTCCATAATACCTCGAAAATATTATTTCTGAAGGATTCAAGGATCAAAACAGTGAAATGTCTCATATTTCCTTTCACATCATAAAAATGTTACTTGTGCAATTTGTTTTCTTCTGCAAGGAGACAGCGACATCTAGTGAACATATTTAGCCATTGCAAAAATTTATATGTCCTTTCAAAGGTCAAGGGACAAGCAAAAAATAAATGAGAGGAGTAGATAATTCTAACTGTAAGCTTATTTAACATATATCTGGCGCTGAACGCCCTATGCCAATTAATTAATGTACCCCACCTTTCTTGAAGTTAATCTGAATTCCCCACCAATTCCGGAGTCTAAGCCACTGTACTTTGTGGATATTTTTTCTTTTTGTTAATTATAGGTAGTAACATGTTTTAAATCCTGGGATCTGAATTTACTCTGGGTATCCTTCTTTACTCTGTAATTTTCCAAGACAAAATTCCAGATATAAGTAAGGAATTTAAAGGGCCTGCCAGATAGCTCAGCGGACTAAAGCACCTGCTTAGGCAAAGCACAGTGGCCGAGGTTCAATCCCCAGCCTGCTGTACCGGCCCCGCCCCCGGGGCACGCTGAGATAGAGATTGAGACTGGGCATAGTGGCGCACACCTGTAATCCCAGCGCTTGGGAAGCTGAAAACAGAAGAGTCACTGCGAGTGCGATCTACGTAGTGAAACCCTGTAGACTCTGTAGATCCTGTCCTAAATACAGAGAAAGAAAAAAAGTAAGGAATTTAAAGACAAAGAAAGTAAGCTTTTTGAGGCCAACCAATTTTCATGAGTGTGCTCCTTCAGACAGTTCTACAGGGTTTCCCAAGCCTCTTGATGCATGATCAAGCGTGGGCTTTCCGCAGCCAGCACCTACCAATCCCCACGGGAGTCCGCACGGTGTAGTGCAGGCAGCCCAGCTGGTCCATCTGTGTGCACTCTGTTGTGTGGTGCAGGACAGAGGAAGCGAAGAACCGGAAGTTCTGCACGGCCCGGGGGATGTCCACGGTTCTTGCCATCGTTAGGGTTTTCCCTGTAGGAAATAAACAACACAAAACCCTGCGGTGGTTGTACATGGAGTAGTGGAAACCCCCTGTCTGTCTGCTGTCCCCCCTCTATATTTTCACCTGGCTCACACGGGTCTGGCTTCAGTTCCTTCCAGCTTGGGAAAGACATCCTTCGACTACACAGAGTAGACTGTGGTTGGAGAAAACTATATGATAATCAAGTGTGAGGTTATAAAATGAGGTCGAGGGGGCTGAGGTTGACTCAGGTCCTCTTTGCTTTGCAGATGGAACACTCCAGCTCTCACTGTGAGCCCACCAGATGCTGCCACTTCATGCACACAACAAGATCTTGCTAATTGAAATCAGCAGGCTTTGTGAGTGCTGAGAAGGGGAGGGAACGATGGCTGTTGACCCAGTTGGGTTGCACATCACAGGTAAACACACGAGGCACGTTAGTGTCCTCCCAACACGTGTGCCTCCTGCTCCTCTGTCACATGCCCAGGCCCATCCCTGGTCTTGGAGGGAATGGAAGAGTAAACGTGAGCTGATCTCTCCTCAGGGTCCTTCAGTCATGGACCTTGACTCCATAACCAGAAACAAGCAGAAGTAGAACTTTCTTGCCAGGGGCTCACCCTGCGGCTCTTTCCTAACTCTAGGTTGGTTCATAGCACACATAAAGTTTCAAGTGCTCTTTGCTTTTTTTTTTTTTTTTAACAGATTTTATTGCAAAGACTTATGCATATGTATTCTATTGCCCTCTCTCTTTGAAGAAGGCCTGAAAAATCTGGGAGACTGTTAGAAGTAAACTAGTGACTGACACACTTGAAGTCTTTCAAACAACTTGACTAACTGTTCTAGTTAGCTTGGCTCTGAGATCCCTCTCTTCAGTGTGGGTGGAAGCTGCCACGACCAGCCCTGGCTCATTTCTTCCGCCAGCCCATGCCCTTGGCCAGGCCTCTTGGCAGCTGCTTCCATCAACAACGGTGTGTGTCTCTGGCCTTTGACCTTGGGTGCAGCCACGTGACTTCGCTCTGACTGGGGCAGGAGCGTGCCAGCTGCAAGCCTTGGCCCCGTGAGGGCTTGCAGTCTGTGTCTGCACCCCTGCCACTGCTATGAGAAGCACGCGCAGGCTGGCCTGGCATCCTAGGAGGGACAGGAATGATCACACAAATGAAGAGTCGCACTCACGGCACTTAGGAGGCAAGAGATCATCGGCGTGAGGGTGGCCACAACTAGTACCTGGGCCACGCTTTGCTCTTTCCCTGGGCATGTAGTAAGAGACACCCGCACTAAACCTCCACTCCTCTAGAAAGAGCTAGAAGACAGACAGGTCCTCGCACCTTGGTCTTTAGATTCCGCCTGGGCCAGCTCCTCCAGGGACTGCTCCAGCGAGTCAGCCAGTCGGCGCAGCACCTGGGCGCGCTCCTCGGGGGCGCGGGATGACCAGCCAGGAAAGGCCCTGCTGGCCGCCTGGACAGCAGCTTCGATCTTGAGGAGAAGAGAGGAGAAGGTCACCCCCAGGCTGCTGCTCCTGAGAGGCTGAAGAGTCACTCCACGGTCCCTACTCACATGATCCATTTTTCTGCCTAATTTCAATGACTTGACATGTCTCAATTGCAGGCTACCTTGAGTAGTCAACACAGGTGTTTATGTGGATCCCGAGACTGCACAAAAACAAAGAAAAGTGTTCTCTTTCCACCAGAGTGTCTAGAATGAATATTATGTGGAGAAGAAACTTGGTCCAAATGTACAGAATCTCTAATACTCTTAATCCAGTTCCAACATTTTACAAAAGCTAAGGTTTTGTGTGAATTCACATCACTTGATTGTCATTAGCACTCACTTAGATTAATTCAATTATGGACTAAATTTTATAGCTAAGAGAATGACTAAATATATGAAATGTTTCATGTAACCCTTTTAAAAATCCTGTATCTCAAGTATTTTATGCTCATTTTACAGGTGAGGAAACTGAGGAACAGAAAGTTCAAATAACTTCCTGATGGTAAAAAGTGGCAGAATCAAGACTGATACCCAGGCCTTTGTGGCATCCAAGACTACAGTCTAATGCACTATGGTATAGCCACTGTCCCTGTCCCCTGACAATGGAAGGGGTCTCTGATGGAGAGGGATGGACCTGGGATTGAACAAAAGCCAGGGGATCTAGATTTGGGGCTACACTCAAAAGAAATCATGTGACCATGTCTGTGTGGAACCAACTATGACCAAAATGAATCTTGGAGCACTTTTCTGCCCATCTCCTCTCTCAGGCACTGTCTATGCCATCATTTCTGTAGAGATGACACATCTACAGCCCATGTCTTCTCTGCTTTCTCTCACACGCCTGATGACTACTGATGACTTACAGCTGTCTTCTAACAGATGGTCCCTGACGATGGTCCCTGGGCTCCAGCTCTGCCCCTTCTCCAGGGGCTTCAGGCAGCCATGAGTAGCTTTGATGGGTCTCATGACCTGACCTTCAGCAGCCTCCTGACCCTGAGGCACCCACGCACTGAAACCCAATCTACACCTCTCCTTTGTTTCCAAGGAACAAAGTCACTTTCAGCTGAGCTAAAGTGAGGGGGAAGATTCAAAATACGGGGCTTGCGAACAGCCTCAGATGTAGAGCCTTGACCAATCATGCAAGACCCTTGGTTCATCCCCAGCATGGAAAAAACAAGAAAAAAAAAAAGAAAGATTTTAAAGATGGTGCTTTCATCTCAAGGACTGAATATCTGCTGTGGACCTACAGATGACATGAGGAGGAGATGGGGGCCTCGATGCCCTCTGCCTCATCACAGGGTGGGGAAGTCCATAGCCAGCCAACCACGGGGACCCTAATTCCTCTGGGAGTCAATTGAAAAATCTGATCATTAGCTATTCAAGTGTACCCATGGTCTCTAAGTTGTCTCCTTTCATGTCTATTAGGCCCACAATACAGAATACATGTTGACCTGCTACTTGTAACAATATTACCACACACTGATACTTAGAGAGTGTTACCTATACACCAAGCACTAAATGCTTCATGCTGGTCCATTTAATACACAGAATCCTAGGATGTGGGTATTGTTAATCTTCCCCATTTCATAAATGAGGAGACAGTGCCATGAAGGTGAGCTCTAAGTCAAGGCCACAGACACCCAGAGGTGGAGATGGTCCCTGAGGCCGGTATGCTTACAGAAGCAATGCTATGGGGGAGGGCGGTGTTGATGTTGTTGTTGGTGGTGTGTGTGTGTGTGTGTGTGTACATGTAAGTGTGTGCCCACAGACCTAAGCATCAGAGTTGGAAGTGTTAGCATGCTGTGCAGCTCTGCCAGGTGACGAGGACAATGGCCTCTCCTTTCTAGGTCACTGCCACCCACTCTGGGTTAAACAGCATGGTGAACGTGTGGTACATACCTGAAGCTAAGTAAATGCAAGGGGCTGGGAGCAGCCCCGGAAGCGTGTTCTCGGAGTGACTGAGAATTTCTCATGTGTTGTGACAGTCACTATTCTTTTCATACTAAAATAATACGGGATTTATGAGATCCGATGAGGTAATTGTGAATTGGATCTCCAAGAAGTACAAATTATTTACTACTATAAAGACACATGCTAGTTTCTCTTTTCTTCTATTCTCTGAGAAGATCTGAGGCACCAGCTGCAGAAAATATTCCACCTGAATTGGGCGCATTTGTCATTTTTAACATCACGTGGGAAAGCACAGAGAGACAAGCAAGAGTGGAGAAAACAAGGCTAGGTTTCTCGTGTTACAGTTTAACCGATGCATTGGCCAATATCTGTGAACATTAATCTGGAAGTCTAAATCCACAAGTTTAATGCAAAGCAGACTTCAAATTTTAACAGTGGAGAAAAATAACTGAGTTCTTTAAAAAAAATACTGGGCATATAAGTCTGCTGATAGATGAAGGCTGCAATTGCATTTTAAATAATCTAACTCTTTATGCTTTGAAAGAATAAATTATAACTCGGATGTCAGGGACATTTACACCCTCTATGTATTGACATCCTCAGTTTAATAATTAATAAATAATCAAACATGTCTCAAATATTTCATAAAATTCCTCAGTTAAAATTACTTCTTCAACCCAATGCTATTATGGACTACTGGACTCTTTTAGATTATCTTGCTGAGTTAACACACCTAGAATATTCAAATGATGGAACTAAACAAAAAAGGGGATACAGATGAATGTCCATTTTGTATCTGTGTATTCAAAATGGTTAGGATAGATACATAGTCACATTCTCTTAATGAATAGAGGGATTTGTTGTAATAGTGTTTGTAAATAAGATATCATGTCTGCATCTTGTACAGCAAATAGCCACTAGGAAGAGAGTATGCAATGTGTTAATTATTGAAGCTGTCATACCAATTTGATTTGAAACTGTCTCATTGCTATTTGTCTCTCAATAAAATTATAGAAAAAAAAAATTACTTCTTCAGGGACAGGGAGATGACTCAGTAGAATAAGCACTTCCCTGGCAAGTGGAAGGGCCTGACTTCAATCCCCGCAGTTCCGCAAAAATAAATAAATAAAAATAAAATTAGTTCTTCATTACTAAAAGAAAGCCTAATGCATATGACTTTAAACACTTTGAGTTTAAAAAAAAAGTTGAATCTAAGTGCAAAAATAGACAAGAATTTGATTTTGAGTTTCATCATTCAAAGCACTGTTTTATAAACTAGGTATTTCGAAGAGATGAGGAATTAGTACAGAATGATCACCAGCACACTTTTAATAAAAGGATCTACTTAATGATACCAATAATTCTTACAAATAGTATGTCATACTATGCCTCTATTGGGACCTGAAACTTACTCCCAAATCCCTACACATACAACAGTGTGTTAGCTTGACTAGAAAACTGACTCACAAAAGAAAGAAAGAAAAACAAAAAAAAAGAAAACTGACTCACTTCTGAACATAGCGGTAACTCACAGGAACCTTCCTTCTTAGCATTCTCCTTCCATTATTATGGAACAAGTCTACACTTTCCTCCAACCCCTTCTGCTTTTAGAAAATCAAGTAATCCACAGTTTGCCAACATGTGAAACCTACTTGACTCTTCTCCAAGTGAGGGCACTCACCTCTTCTTTCCCACTGTTTGGCACCTTGCAATACACTTCCCCTGTGGATGGATCATACGAATCTATATATGAATTGCAAGGTAAAAATTTCCCATCTATGAAGTTTTCCAGCATCAAAAGTTTGACTGGTGCAGCCATAGTAAGGAAAAATGCGGGCTTTCCCCTGCACAGCTGCTGACTGCTGTTGGTCCCTCGACTTTGCCCCTATGCCTGAGTTACTCTCCCCGGCCCCACACCATCTACCAATCAGTGAAAGTGGGAGGAGTCTGATACTGGGCGTGTCCCACCCTCAGGGATTTCATGTCATGTGGCTAGTACATTATGAGAAGTGGACAATGTTCAACTAACATCAATTTCCACGTTCATGTCCTTTTAAAGTCATCAAAAGGCACCTCTATAATTTAATTGGAATCACACAGAAAACTGTTTATTACTCAGACATTAAGCGTCAAAATAGCCAGGGAGATAGCTCAGTGGAATAAGTGCTTGCCTGGCAAGTGCAGGTTCTGAGTTTGATCCCTGGTACCACTAAAAAAAAAAAAAAAAGGCCTCTAAGTGTTAAAATATGGAGAAAAGTACTATTTGTGAATTTGTTCACTTACTCTGCACAATGATTCTCTAGAAAGTGAATATTGTTACTTCATCTCTTTTGCAGAAGAAACTGAGCCTGGGACATGTTCAAGTTCAGTTAGCAAGGGAAAAGCTTTAGTCCGTCAAGTTACATGTCACTGCCTTCCCTCTGCGGAGACACATGCAGATGGATGTCCTCTCTCCACCGTTCAGCTGGGATATTTTTCACCTTAGCTGCTGTTGGCCTGAAAAGCTGCCTCTCCCTCAGCTGGGATGCACAGTGTCAAGCCGCACGGCAAGCCTGCCACATTCTCTGGCCCAACCTCACACCTGAGCTCTGGTGGCTCAGAGAGCTCGAGGACTTTGCTCTAACTGTGGCACCAACCTTTCTCCTGTCTATTCTCCTTGAGAGACAAAGTTCCATATCTGGTTCCAAGGATGGAGACCCTACTTCCAGGTAATTCCATCTGCCCACACGTCACCTGAATTCCTCGGGCTATTTGCCCCCCAGTGCCCAATCTACCAAAAGCCAAGCTATTCTTGCTGTACTTCTGGAAGTCAGTCCTATCCATGAATAAACCATACTCCACTCCATTGGCAGCAGTTAGACTGCACCCACCATCTTGTAGGGGTGGCTTTGGTGCCAGGTCCTTCACATCCTAGGGGACTAAAGACTTTGACCAATGGTTGATCTCCTGGTTTCTCATCCCCTCCTATCTCCAGGCTCTTTCTACCTGTGAGCTCCAGTTTTTCAATATAATATATAAGCAATATAATAAATAAAGTTGGGCTTTCTGCACTTTATCCTTAGGCTTTCTCTCCTGCTGAAACATACAGAGTGATCATGAGTGTGTTATTATTACAGGGAAGACTGTCCTATCTTTCATGTGGCAACTTGTTCTTTTTTCCCTTATAGTCTTCTTAGCCTCATTCCTAGGAGGAAGAAGTGCTGTGGCAAAGTCGCACATCAGAATTACATTATCAATGATGATCAGGGTCAAACACTTGGTTCTTTCGTGGCATGTGCTGCACTCCAGAGTAATTTGGAAATGTATTAGTCAACTTTCCCAGTGCTGGGACATATGGCTCACAACCACAATTTAAAGAAGTCTAACTTGGCTCATGGTTAAGGGGATTCAGTCCATAGGTGGGTAGCACAAAAGCGGAAATGGGGTGGAGGAAGGGCACAGCAGAGGACAGTTGCTCACCCCATTGTAGCCAAGCAGACAGAACGGAGAAACAGAAAGGGAGGGAGACCCCCCAATGACACACTTTCTCCAGCCAGCTCAGCCCTACCTCTGAACAGCACATTAGTGAATCAATCTGAGAATACTGTCCCCATGATCCAAACACCTCCCAAAGGCCCCCAACTCTGGACACACAAGACTTCTGAGGGACATCCTAAATCTAAGTTAGAATGGGGCCACTGGCCTTGCTTGATCTTGAGGTCAAGTCTACTGATGTAAAATAGTGATGTGACGGTTGTAGAAAATAACTAAAAGATAAGAGCTGGGAACTGGAGAACCTAGGATGTGGGAGGAACAAGAGAAAAGAACCACGAGCTTCCATTTCAAATGTGAACCCTAACATATTGGCTTATATTACATTCAGCCATTTGGGAAAATGCTAGAAGCCCTCTGTACTGGACACAACAAATCTTCTCTAAGGTCCACTTCTTGTCTCGAGCACTCTGCACCCCCTCTGCAATCAAGTGGGGCTATGTGGGTAGTTCTGACCAGGGGCAGTGTGTAGAAGCAAAGCCTGCTGGAGATCATCCATCGTCTCTCCCACCTCCATCGAGACCAAGGGTGTCTTTTCAAGATGTCCAGGGCCAGGTGTATAACCTGTCAGCCAGAACTGTTGAGGCACTTTACAGACAGGCTACAATTTCACCATATAGCAATGCTTATGAAATAAACATGTGTTTTGCTCTGTCAATGTAGCTGAAGCCAATTTCTAACCAATCACGGTAATAAGTAGTGTATCCTGTTTAGTAGACATACAGTTTAGGAAACATTTTCAAATCTCTCACTGATGCTCTGTCTTACAGACAGCAGTGCCTGGAAGGGACTCCCCATCTAAGGAAGAATGGAGCCTGTTGTGAGCTCCTTTCCACACAGAAAATGTCATGACGAATACCTGTGCGTCTGTGCCCAGTAGGTGTACTCTTGCACCCCCAAACAGATTCCTAATCAAGAAGGAAGTGAAAGCCCAGCACTTAGCTCAGAGACCATTTGAGACTGTGGCCACAGAAGGAAGACAGAGTCCCGCAGGGTGCCGCTAGTATATGCATCCTCCATCCCTGGCATCACAAAAACTCAAACCAGTTCATTGGAACTGGGCAGATACTGCAAAGGCCACAAGCTGTGGAAGCATCTACTACCATCTAATGCCACAGTTCCCTGAAAAGAAAGAATCATGTATTTGTGCCAGGCACTTTAAAGGATCTTAGAATCAACTAGGGTGTGGCTCTGGGCCAAATGGCTAGAGAAAATATGACACTTCACCCTGAACATAATGGGTGAAAAGAATTGCTCAGCAAAGTGGACCATTCTGAAATGGTTCTGACCTCCATACCTGAGAATGTGCAGGACTCTCGATTTTCTTGTTTTTTGTTTGTCTTCTTTTTCACAACCTGCGAGGGTATCAGATCCGTTAACATCTAACTCATATAGCAACAGGTCTTCCAGGCTTCCTAATGCCAGGTTGGATCCAATTTGATCAAGGGAGTAAGTTCTGAGGATTGCTTTTCACCACAAAGGGTTTTACTTCAGTAAGGACTATTTGTATTATTCAAGAAAAGTAACAGAATTTTTCAAGCATGGAATAGGAGCATGGAACTTAGAACATGGGCATCGCAGTCCCTGTGCACAATTTGCCACGCATGTGGCCACAATTGCCACTGTTCTTCCTTCACTTTGGAGGGAGCTTTGGCTGCCCAGACCACCATTCTGAGATAAAGAACACAACACGTATGCTCAGACCTCCTAATGTGTGTTTATTGTTCTTAATGCACATATGAATTTCATATATTTTGTTTATATCAAATATTTGTTCATATAAAAATTTAAAACTGTGAAAATAGACCTTTTAAAAAACATTTTTGTATTTACAGAAACCATGATCCAGTTTTTCATTATTAATATCTTAAATCAGTACAGGTGTACTACAGTGAAGGAACCAGTAGTGATACCCTCCTAACAAAAGGCTCTGGTTGTATTTCTTTGGTTTTCACCTAATGTCTTTTGATCTTATCATGATGTCACACTGCATTTGCTCCTCCAGACAATAAATTCCTCAGATTGGGCAGCCAGATAGCTCAGTGGACTAAAGTGCCTACTTCGGCAGAGCGCAGCAGCTGGGGTTCGATTCCTGGCCTGTCATGCTGGCCCCACCCCCGGGGAGCACTGAGACAGGGATTGAGACTGGGCATGGTATCACACACCTGTAATCCCAGCACTTGGGAGGCTGAAAACAGGAGAATCACTAAGAGTCTGATCTACATAGTGAGACCCTGCACACCCTATAGGCCCTGTCCTAAATACATTTTAAAATAAATAAATAAATAAATAAATAAAATAAAGAAATTCCTCAAATGTTCCCGTTTGGTGACTTTCATAGGTTTGATGAGTACTGGCCAAAAAAATTTGTAGATAAGCCTGTATTGGAACCTGGGTGGTGTTTCTCTCAGTTAGACTGGTATTCCCAGTTTCTGAGAGGAAGACCAAAGAAGAAGCATCATTTCACCTCTCAGTAGACACACAGCTCCACAACCACCATGCCTTCACTGTTAATGCCTTCACCGTTAGCATCTGGTAAGGCAATGCTTAACAGGTTTCTGTTACTAAATTACCCTTCTTTTCAATAGTTGTCCACACTGCACTCTGGGGAAAGAAAGCACCATGAGTAGGGAGTAATGTTCCGCCTTCTGAAGATAAAATAGCTAAATCAAGTATTTGGAATGCTTCTTCCAGGGAGATTTGTCCTACATCCTGCTTTACTTATTTATTCAATAATTTATATTTGTATAAACTCATTCATATACTTGCTTAGGAGAAACTATTTTTTTCTAGGTTTTAGTAGTGAAATAGCTAACCTTTCTCTATGTTGATAATGAAAATAATGCATTCCTTTATAATATATACAATTATAACACACCTATACAGTACATATATATACACATATGTATCTTCTGTATTTGTGTAACATACATGTAGTACATGTAATATATAATGTCACACAATGTTTTACTTTGCTGACATATAATTTTGCAATCCACTATAATTTGTGGTAACATAAAAACACTCAAATACTTCAATTACAGCAAGTTGAAGGGACAGGAAAGGCTATATTGGGAAGAATGGAAAATAAAGCCAAACATATAGTTTATGAAATGCCTGACCTATAAAGCTGGTAGTTTTGGGCTGGGTCTCAAATTTTGCTGTAAGCTTTCTAAGCAAAGCAAAGAGGAAACTATTAGTATAGCTTTCTGAAGATTCAGCAAGTACTGCAGTAGTATTTTTGTTTTTTTTCTAAATAGTCTTAAATTTTCTTCCTTTGTCATTAGCAATTATACAGGAGTATTTCTTACACTTCATATTTGAAGTATTTTTTTAAACATTG